GGGGGGGGGGGGGGGGGAACGGAGAGACGGCCAAAAATTACGGCCCGGGCGAACGACTCACCGCGGCCGTGGTGACAACGATGGGCGACGTCTCGTCCTTGAGGGCATTGTCGAGGGTGTTCGGCACCGGGGGGAAATCCTCCTTGCCGCTTGCCAGCATCAGTTGCTGGTAGCACGAGATCGCGTCGAACGTCATGTCCAGCTCCTCGATCTGTTCCCAAGAAACAAACATCAACCCCAAAAAGACGAAACAAACAACAACATCACAAAGACGGCGCCGCCATAAGGGCAATCACCCGGACACCACAATACCTTGTCGTCCACAAAATAAAACGCCGAGAAAAACATTGCGATTAGACACAAATCGACCGTAGCACACTCTTCAAGACGCACATGCTTTTTTGTCCCCACGGAGCGAATCTGAATGTGACGGGCCACACAACGCATTGACCTTCCGGGGTGAGCGGTGAATTGTTACAGGGAAGAACACACACCGACTTTGTCGAAACACGGCATCGTAAGCTCGGTACTGCACGCATGCAGGCTGACCGCGAAAAAAAAGAACAAAAGAAACCACCTAGAATATCGCAACAGCCACACAACCCAAGACAGAAGTAGATGAAGTCACAGAGGCAGCCGTGGCAGGCAAACATTGAGATCGATTACACAAGGAAGGGCACCCTCCACAAACCTTGTTGGTGTCGCTGTTGAAGCGCACGCGGACCATACCGTTTACCTCCCATTCTCGCCTGGCCGCATGCTTGCTGTCGTGTATGGGCCAGGGAGGGAGCAAAAAAATAAAAAAGGACTAGGCGATGGGAAAAACATCAGCAAACGAGCAAAACGGACCACATCGGCAGTTCAGATGACAGTTACGTTACCTTCAAGCTCCGACCGCTAGTTGCTACGGGTGGGGATATCGCGTAGGGCCGGTCGCCGGTGGTTTCAGGGTGCACAAGAGCGCCAACCTTGTGCATGTCCTCACGAACGTCTATGTAGTATGCATACCCTCCACAGAGAACGAAGCGCAAGCCTCAAGCCTCATTGTCACGTGTGGGTGTGCACAGTCATATATACCCTCACTGCCACCAGGACAACAACGCCTTGTCGTGGACATGATGCATATATGCACATATACCCTGCAAACCAGAGAAAAGCCGCCTGGCTCGACACCACCAATAAAAAGACACCACCAACGTTATACTTCCAGGTAGGAGTATGCTGTGAAATGTTCACTAAAACGTGTGTTGGCCCTTGTGAAACAACCCTGTCGGTTTCCGCCTCCTCCTCCCCCGACCCCACCCTAAGCGCACCTCCCATCTCTAAAACCAAACAAAAACAACGCTTTTGTTATGGTCTCATTCTCTTACACGGCGTCGAGCGTGCGCATGGTGAAGGAGCACATAAGGCCGTCCCGGCTGAAGAACGCCCCCCCCTCGTCGGCGTCTGAGGCCAGGGTAAACTTGATCGACACGGGGCTTTCGTAGAGGCGAGTCTTGACGCCGATGTTGTCCAGCAGGACGGAGAGGCTCTGGGTGTCGGAGATCATCCCTGTTGGAGTCGAGGAAGGACGCCGACGATGAGTATTGGGGAAAGTGAAGAGGTGAACGTTTGGTTTCACCACCTCTACCTACAAATTCCTGAGGAAGCACGCGCGACCCGTGCCACCGGAGTAACACCAACACATACGCCAAAGCACTGCATCTCCCTTACCACTGCCTCGTTGTCTCTCTCGCCAACTACATCTACATCTCAACCACATACTCCCCAACTCCGAATCCCTCACAGTCGCACTCCGCTACCAATATATCTCTCCAACAATTTCTCGCACTCTTGCCTCCGGCAATCCCTCACAACCCGTTTCTCTCTCCAATTCGCCAACCCCCCCCCCCCCCCCCCCCCCCCCCCCCCCCCCCCCCCCCCCCCCCCCCCCCTCTCTCTCTCTCTCTCTCTCTCTCTCTCTCTCACCGTCCACGCCGAGCAACACGCGGCGGTTGTTGACCACATCGGCGGGGTTGAAGGAACGGTACGGCGTGATCGGCATGGTCATCCGGAGGTCCGGCGACAGCACCTCCAGCCACGAGGCCTCGTCGGTGCAGCCATCCGCGCGGAGGTCGAACACCTGCGAGAGCGACGGGGGGGCGTCGCGAAAGGATCTGGCTTCGTAAGGCAGCTATTCAGATAATGTACTTCCAACAAAACACGGAAGACTAACCGTTCGGAGATAGAACCACGGTCGAAAGATAATTGTTTTTATCTAGCTAATATACAATCAAAGGAAAGGCTAGCCGATCGAGAAAATACCTACAGCAGTCGTCGACGGGGATGGGTTCAAGTCTTCATAGTTGTGGAGAGCAAGATTTTTATCCAGGGGCGAGATGGAAGGCTGCTCTGGAGTAAATCGGACCATGCAGACGACGGCACAGTCTGACAAAATGATGCAGATCAGCAGGGGCAGCAGAGCGCCAAGATCAGCAGGGGCAGCGGCAACACCACCGCCAACAATAAGAGCAGCTACACCACAGCGCGCACGAGAGGGAGAGAGAAGGAGAGGGAGAGAGCTTAGCCCTCCTACTGGTGTGTGGTGTGTGTGCGAGAACCATCCCGGCATGTGGTCATCACCGCCCTTATATTTCCCAAATGAGCTGGGTGTGGTGCGGGACGTCAATCACCCACCTTGCGTAACGCCTGGCAGCGAGCGGTACGGCAGTCTTTGAGCTTCTTGGCAGCCTCCTTCTCCCTAGCCGCAGCTTCGGCCTGAAATCCCACAAGACACAACAGGGGAGGTCGACAGGCAAACACGAACGGAAATTGAGTACAAGTATGTAGACAAAGGCAAAAAAAAAACAAAGAGTGACAGCAACAACATATGCATCCCGTTGACGGAAGCGGAGTACAGCAGTAGCCCAAAAACACACAGACCGAATCACCTCGAACAGAAAGAAACCTGTTGTCCACACCTCTCTCCCCTCTGATTGATCTACTGAGGGAGGGGGATGCTGCTGTTTCCCTACAGTAGAGAGAGCTTCATTCTTCCACGTGCACGACAAACCGTTGGCTGTACCTCCCTCTCACCGATTCCTTTTCAAGCTGGATGAGCTGCTGCTGCATCTTGTCCGCGCACTGCTTCTTGAGCTCTCGAGACTTGCGGGCCTGCCTGCGGTTGCGCTCCCTGTCCATGAGTTTCTTCTCGTCAACGCTGGAGGACGACTGCAGGCGAAGAAGGGAGAGGAACAAAAAAAGCGCGTCAAACATCGACGCGTTTCAGCAAGGAAGACAAGAAGTCTGCCGGGAGTATTCGCGGACACGAAAGACGGGAGGCCGCGGGGTCTCGGGACAACCAAAACAAACAGACGGACGGTGGATGTGACGAGTCGAAGAGGCGCGCCACTCGGGTCACCAGCATCGATCATTTCCTGTCTCCGTTTGTCATATTTTCTCCTCTCTTTCGCACACATTGGTGGAAGGTTGACACGTCAAACAATTCACGAGGATAGGAAATCAGGGAGGAAACAGGAGGAGTTCAAGCAAGAACGGGCGGGAAACTACGACAACACGTACTGGCGACACGTGTAAGAAGTATCAGCCAAAAAAAACGCAACCGTACCTGTGAAACGAAAGGACGCGGCAGTGGGGCATGTCTCACAAAATTCACTTCTCGAAGGAAAATGGCATCATAGCTCCCTAAAGCAGTGTGTCTTCTCTCCCATGCCCATAACGTAGGTGGCCGTATGAGGCCCTGACTGATCCGCGTGTACGGTGCAAAGACATCCGGCAACAACTGAGGGCGAAACTACACTATCGCATGCGCCGACAGCACCAAGCAATTTCCATCGTTCATCGTTTGTCTCCTTGTCCCTGGGCGCCGGGGAGAGGCGTAGCGGCGCAAGAAACCCCATCCGGATGGCTGGGACAGAACACATAACAACCCCAACAAAAAGCAGGCGAGATCATAGCATACAGGCACCCCGCCCGTGCCTGGGACAACAACGCCACAAAAACAACAGCAGCAGCCGACAACACGGCATTCTCACAACACTTCTGCCTTCCTCACCTCGGTCTCGGAGTGTGACGCAGCAGAGGACGAGGAGTACGACGCCGAGCCGGAGCCAGCGGCATCGATCCGGCTTCTCTTGTTGGCGTAGTTCACGCCCTCCCACTGGTGCGAGGAACAAGAAAAAAACGCCACCATCCAACAAGAATTTATATCAATGACAATGATGGTGTGCGGACGAGGGAGTCAAGGTTAAGGGTACGTCTAGGCGTCTCTTTTCATACGCGATAAGCGCCTTCCAAGCTGACGCCGCGCGCTCCCGCTACGGCGAACAGTGACCTACAAACCGCCCCAATTTCATAGAGAGCAAGACACGTCGCCGAGCACAACATTACCAGAGCACATATCTACTCGCAGATGAAAGAAGACAAAAGCCTTACGCATGCTGTGGACGGCATCCCCATGAAGCCTCCGTTCATCATGGCGATGGTACGGGGCAGGTTGGCCATGGCCACGTCGTTGTACAATCCAGCGTTGGCGACGTCACCGCCGTACACTCCGAAGGAGCCCATCATGTCCATGGTATGCGTGTCGCCAATATGTGCTTTTTTTCCCGGTGAGGCAGGTCTGCGGAGGAGGAGGAGGAGGAGGAACATGGGCCAGCAGCAGCAATAGCAGCACTCAACATTTACTGCTGCTAATCGAAGCAGGACAAGAAACACACACACGGACAAATAAAGCAGATGGAGATAGGCAACATATAAGTATGTGATAAAGAGTATATAGAGAGAAGTGGAGGGAGAGAGAGAGAGAGCCCGCACGCATGTTGAGGTGCGGAAGCCGGCAACATTTCAACGACCTTGTTGCTCCTAGTGCCGCAAGAAGACGTTTCACACCAAGGGCAATACGCCCTGCTTTCGGTTTGGTTCCGGCTTCGAGATTTGACTTTGCCACGCCTTACGGACGGAACCGTGCGTAGCGAGCATCCTTCTTTCTTGTTGCTGCATGAGAAGGGCGTTGGGCGGCGGCGGCGGCGGGAGTGTACACATAGCCGTGCATGCCGTAGTCGTTATACCATTGAGCTTGCATCCATACGAAGCCGGGACCGAGCACGCCGGGTTCTCACCGGACTAGGTTCGTTACCAAGCGCCGTGAGGTATTCCGCAACATGGGGGGCGGGGATGGTGGGATAAAGAAGGAAGCTAGTTGATAAGTGAAAGAGCGCGTCCCGCGGAAGTCCGGGAGCCTTCCGCGTAGATCGTGCCCTGCGTGCTTTCTTCATTCTTCGACTCCAACGGTACGAAAGAGGAGGTTCCCAACGCGGAGGCATACAGAAACCGATAGTGCAATGTCTTACTACTTGTGAAAGCAACAATAACAAACACTGCTCTGTATTCACTTGTTTTGGGAGTGCACCTGGGGGAAGCAACTGCTGAACCACTTGCAAAACCACCTGTACCGCACATTACACTCTTCTGCATTAACTCGGACAGGGTTTCTAACTTCTACCTTGGCTCTACCCTGTTTCGAACCGTCTCTCTAAGCTTTCAAAAGCTGCTGAAGGTGCCGGCTGGCATGTTGGAACGTTTGTCGACTGCGCCGACTGGTTGATTGCCGCAATGTACTTCGACAGTTTTGGACGCCTGAGCCCGTAGGTACTTGCGGCACGTGCAAGGGTGATTGGGAGCCACTCTGCTCTCTGAACTTCTCCGTCTCTCCTTCCTACTTCTGATGGCAAAACCCTGATGCGACGCCTGACACATCCCTACCGACTGCTGGACAGCCAAAGGCTAACCGGCCTGTGCGGGCTTGAACACCACCGCCCCTCCATTGGGAAGACACTACCATGCATATAACATTGGCAATCTCCGGGGCCGCCTCTCTGTTCATGGCACGAATGAATAGTGGCTTCAACCATACTACTACTACAAGTAAATAGCAGTATCGACTCGGGCGTTCCTTGCACGTTTCACGTAAAAGCATCAGGCAGACTCACACCGGAAAGTGCTTCTGTGTGTGTGCGTGTGTTTTCTTCCAGTACATCTCCCTCCGGGGGTGATTCAGTTGGTAGCCTCGTCACATCCATATCTGACTGTCCATGGGTAAACAGTAAACAGCTAATAATAGTTAAGTAGTGGGCCCTGTTTTAGTGACGGTTGCATGTGTCCAGAGGTTTTACCGGCACAAAAACGGGCCCATGGTACTATTGAGGACAGGGATATACAGGTTTTAGTATACGGAGTGGACACTCGTGCCAACAGAGACGTGACCGGCACTATATCGGACTGTGGCAATATTCAACCGACACTATAGAGGGCCCACTACTGTTGTGGTATCGGATCTCTCTCCAGCGCAAAGAACGGAAACACCGCAACGTGTACACGTTGGCGTGGGAAGGGACTGGTGCGCCATTCTCTCGCTGAAATCTGCAGACAAGGGGGAAAGGGTGGCGAAAGGCGAAAAGAGAGAGCGCAAGGAAAACACCGAAATTTCCGAGTGTTTGCTTGGCTCCTGCTTGACCCCGTCCGGTGCATGAAAATGCAATATCGCTGCTGTGTGCACTAATCGGGGGATGTAAAAATAGAATCACAGGTTGGTCATGCACAAACCATCGATTCATGGGGAATTCATCCCGGCCGGTCTCAATATCGTCGGACAACTTGCTTGTCAAAAACCACAAAAAATAATGCCACGAAGTGAAGGGAAAAAACAAATAAACATTTCCATTCGTTCGATTTGTTACAAACGCATGTTGAGCATTTATGCGTATATATACAAAATGCATGTATTCGTTCGGTTCGTTACAAACGCATGTTGAGCATTTATGCGTATATATACAAAATGCATTCATAAATTACCACACTCGACCGGGCGCTACGTAGTGCCCCGCTTGGTGTGTCTCTTGATCTACATCCACAGTGCGGCCTGGACGAGGGTAGGACTACTACGTTGTTGTTGTCTTCATGTCGGGAAAAACACGGCAAGACTGTGTACTACGATAGGTATGTACCCGTTCGAGATTTACCCGCAGCAGTCGAATGGGATGTGTTGGAGTCTTTTCAGTGAGTGGATGAAAACCGGCTGGGTATTGGACATATTTCGAGTCTGTTGTAACCCCATCCTGCTGTACGTACGACGATGATATATACTATCAGTGATACCAGCTGGTGCCACGCATATCAAAAACATCTGTTTAGGTAACCTATTAGTAAAATACAAACACAGCAATTCTACCCATTCGAGATACAGCCACAGCCCGAACGGGAGGTGGACCTATTAGTTAAATACAAACACAGCAATTCTACCCATTCGAGATACAACCACAGCCCGAACGGGAGGTGAAAGAATGGTACGTTACGTATACCTCGAATCTTCATATGCAGTCGACCCTGCTTTAAGGACGCTCGCGTTAAGGAAACCTTTCCTGAGCAGCAGGGGGCCCGGCGGAAATGTACGATAATGGGGCACCCCCTTTTTCTGCCGCGGGCCGCGCTTTGCACGCACCACGCACCACCGTGAATGCAGAAAAATCGACGCGCAGACAGCAGAAGTAGCTAGCGGTCTGCTGCTGCAGCTGCAGCTGGGTGTTGGAATGGATAGATAGATTCCTCCCATCTACCGGTCGGTCCATCTAGTGCCGCCAAAAAAACATGTGGAGAACCAACCTGTGCGATGAGATCTCTACTGATTACCGCAGTCCACCAGTGCCCATGCGGGCGGCCGATGCATGGCTTCTGTGGCCGAGGAATCGGCAAGGAAGGCTTCGAGCAGCAGAGAGAGTGCACAGATTGTCAGAGGCGAACGACTACAGGCAAGATCGGCACCGGCACAAGTCCCATGGAGGTGGACAGCAGTAGCGACAACTAGGACAACAGCAGCAGGCGATGATTGTGGTTTACAGCCGTCAGCAGCAGCAGCAGCAGCAGCAGCAGCCATCGGCCGAACGCGTGCTGTTGATTTGTTGAGCAGGAAAGCGTGCACCACGATGTTACATGTACATCGCGTGCCCTTACCTTCGTCTAATTCTTGTCAAACAACAGCAGTGTCAGCATGCCAGGAAAACTCACAGATTGTCCGCACGAGGCTGCGTGTGTGTGTGTATTTTTTTGTGTGTTATGACAAACGATCGTCAATATCCGTCGGTGTGTGTGCAATTGTATTGTAGCGTCAAAAACCAAGTGAAGACTCTCGCTACTGCTGTGCATCTTTTGGCNTTTGTTGAGCAGGAAAGCGTGCACCACGATGTTACATGTACATCGCGTGCCCTTACCTTCGTCTAATTCTTGTCAAACAACAGCAGTGTCAGCATGCCAGGAAAACTCACAGATTGTCCGCACGAGGCTGCGTGTGTGTGTGTATTTTTTTGTGTGTTATGACAAACGATCGTCAATATCCGTCGGTGTGTGTGCAATTGTATTGTAGCGTCAAAAACCAAGTGAAGACTCTCGCTACTGCTGTGCATCTTTTGGCACGCAACTTGCGCCTGAAGCAGTTCGCATGCCGCGCTGCCGAAGTGATTCTCGTTGTTCAACGCTGATTGAAAGCGAACTTTTGCTCGTTCAGAGGACTCTGGTGTTAACGGTTCGCACTTGAAAAAATACAAGATTAACATACAAAATTGACGCAGTCGTGATATTCTTTTGTCATATTTATATTCAGCGTAAATTGTAGCTGCTGGCCTGCGTGCAGTCTTTCGGCGGTAGGTGCGAGCACTCTCGTTCTCCGGAAAATAAGCGCATGTTTTGTCGGGCACAACGACATTTTTTCTCACGTGGGTGTATTTGCCAACAACCTGCCCTGACATGTCACAATTCCCTCGTCTCGTTGCAAAATTTCTCGCGCAGGACGAGGCAACCGGCTGGGGGCCAAGAGCCAGAGACTGCAAGGAAGGGGAAACGGCCTCAACGCACTGCGGGGGGCGGCGGCGCAGGTGCCACGTGGGGAGGCGGCGGAGGTGCCGCGGGGGACGGCACAGGTAGTGTCGCCAAAAACGTCCGGGTGTCCAAGCCCGGACGGGACACCGGCAAAAACACGTTATCGATGACGCAGCGAATGCACCTTGTCAGGGAGGTCCACGGGGGGGTTACGAGGAGCATGGTTGCTGCAAAGTGGAACGTCGGTACTTCGTACATCAGCAAGTTGATGAACCCGGAGAAAATCGCCGAGCTTGAGAAAGTCCGCGACATGGAGCTCAACCAGGACGCACCTCGCGCCCCGAAGTCGGTACACGACGAAGTGGAAGAGAAACTACGCAAGTGGATCAAAATCGTAAGAGCACGCTTTGACGTAAGTACATATTTTGCATTAGCCATGTGTTGGTCAGAATACAACTTGGTTGTCTATACGCCTACACACTTCCGCCCCTACACCTCCCGCTCTCGACCAAGCTGCTGGGTTGGGGTTTCGACAAGCTCTATTAGTCAACCTGTTTCAAGCTGGCCGACTGAACGCACAACCAATTCAAGGGAGAGTTGATCGAAACCATGTCGCTGCTGCTTTTTTTTTTATGTCTTTCCCGACGCAGGCAACTAAGATTGGCGTGAGTGGTTCGATGATCCAGGCCCAGGCCTTGAACACCGCGGCGAAGATGGGGAAGACCAACTTCAAGGCGACCAACGGCTGGCTACATCGCTTCCTGAAACGCTACAGCTTCACTCACGTCCAATAGCACCGAGAAGCTGGCGACGTGGACAAGCAGAAGGTGGCAGAGGAGATCGAGAGGATTCGTGAGCAGGTGCAGGAGTTCGACGTCGAGTTCATTCTTAACATGGACCAGACGGGACTTTTCTTCCGCTGCTTCCCGAGGGGTAAGTACGTCACGAGGGGGGAGGCCGCCGCCGGCGTCAACAGCAAAACCGTGCGGGGTTCGAAGGCCATGCAGGCCAAGGATAGGTGCACGGTGGTCGCCTGCTGCAATACGACCGGGTCTCTGATGGTGCCGTTAGCCGTCATCAGCACGTCGAAAAACCGATGGTTTTCCGCCACGTCCGCAAACCGCCATGCCCCTACCTCGCCGAGGAGAGTGCCTGGCTCGACGCAGCCATTTGCCAGCCGTGGTTTGACGGAGTCTTTGTCCCCTTCGTCAAAGGCAAGACCTCCAAGAAGGTGGCCATTTTGTGGGACAAGTGCCCCGGCCACAAGATCAAAACCAACGACCCGCAGATCGTCATCATCTTCTTGCCTCCGAACGTCACTTCTGTCTACCAGCCCATGGACATGGGCATCCCGTTTGTACTCAAGTGCCAGTACAAGACCGAGGTGGTGGCAAGGCTGGCAGACCTCATCGAGGACTGGGACACCGTCCGTGCACGAAAAATCCAAAGGTGAATTCAAAATAACAATGAAGGGGCAGAAGGGGCGCTCTTTGTTACCGTCGTCGCAGGTCTTGCGAAGGCTCTGAAAATGGTTTTCTTTCAACTTTTTTGTCGAGCTGGTATTAACATTAGCCCTTTCATCCGTCCCTGTCTTTCGTTTCATCAGGGTGCCGGGGCCTCAGCGATGCAGGACAGGCGGCAATGTTGGACGTCACGGAGATCTGTTCCCAGAAGTGGCGTAGCTTGGACGTTCAGACGGTCATTAGGTGCTGGCTCAAGGCTGGCATCCTTCCAAGGGAGCACTGCAACGTTCTCAAGGGCATGGACACGCGGCTTGACCGAGAGGACAAGGGCGACGCGGCAATCATCGACGGCCTTGTGACAATGGCCTCAAAAATATCGATGCCAGCTAGCGTAACGGACTATTGGTCCATGCCGCGAGTGTGGACGGACAATTTGTTTGTCGAGAAGGGCACAGACCTCACAGAGCAGGAAGTCCGGACGGCGGTCAAGACGTCGCATACGGTAGAGGACGACTCCGAGGTGTTAGAAGAGGAGGTGCAGTTGGAACTGCAGGCAGTAGAGAGGGATCTCGCTGGCGTAGAAACGGACGACGACGTATCGAGGGAAGAGGGCGACGGCAACGGCAGGCCGGAGTCGTGCATAACCTCGTCCCTCACCGAGGGCAAGGTTATCTCTCGCTTGGAGGACGTTCGATCCTATTTGTACGCGAAGGGAAGGGGTGGCGAGTACCGTGAGATGCAGTATCTTCTTTCGAAGACCGTTCATTCGTTTACTCATGAAACTCAACAGAGCCGTAGAGCCAAGCCGCGGGGGGAGGTTCAGGGAACTCTTCGCGATATGTGGAGGGAAAAGCCGTCAGGGTAGCTTGGTCTCCGCCGGGACAGTTATATGTACTGGTGTTCCTCGGTGCGACGCTGAAGACCGCTCGTTTTTTTTGTGTTTCACGAGAACGAGATAAATGTATTCCTACTTGGACTTTCCTCCTTCTTCCGTTGCTAGCGAAGCAGTACATTAGTTTACCAAGTTCAAACTCGTGTACTGCTGTATGTAGTTGTGTTCAACACCTCCCCGACTGATGTACATCTTATTTTAAGCATTGTAAATATGTTCGACGTCAACAAACGGTTGCCATTCGTCTCGGCGATGCTGACTTTTCGTGTGGTCCGTTCGGGCAAATATTCACAATATTTTCCCCTGTTCAAAGGTGCACTTTTCTCGGGGTGGGGGTACTTATTCCGACATCTGAAAATACCGCGACGTTTCAAGGCGCATCTTCGCACGGAGATTTTTTTTTTTTTTTCGTCCTTCGCTCGATATGTTCAGATATTCAAGAAATCTTGCTTACTTTCTGGAGGGCGGTGTTTTTTGCAGACACAAAATCTGAGACCGGATTTGGACAGCTCTCGTGATTTGCCACCGATGATTTTTTTCCGATTTCCAATTTGACAAAAAATAACGGAGTTATGGGCAAAAAAACGGATATTGGAGGGTATTTTGCTTAGTTTCTTGGGGACAATCCAACCGTACGATTCAAAAATAAAGTGCTGCAATCGATTCCTCTCGTGATTTCCCACCGATGATTTTTTTCCGATTTCAAAAAAAAACTCGGGTTTCGGAGATATTTCGGGTGGTTTCACACGCCCTCGGGGAATTTTTTCCCGCCACACACACACCAGAGGACACACACACACGCACCCTTTACGCACGCAACGAAAGACGCACACGCGCTCCGGGCACATGGGTCGCCCAAAGGGTAAGCGCAAGCTGCCAAGGAACGCCGACGGCACGATTCGGAAGGCCCCTTCGCCCCCTGCGGACCCTGCTGTAGGCAACGACTCTCCTCCCTCTTNATAGCACCTTCTCCCTCCACTGCGAGTGTTCCCTTCGCCACATGCTCCAGGTCTTGCCCGGCGCGTTGAGCGGCGTACCCGCACGGTTTATCCGCGCATGGAGCAGGGTGACGTGGCTGTACATCGAAGCCTACGACGAGGGCCTGGAGGACTACCTCGAGTACCGCGATCTCAAGGAGTGGGGGAAGCACCGAGAAGCCACCGCCAGGGGAGATGCCGTGATTCAGGCGAGGGGGGCGGGGAAGACGCCGGAGCAGAAGAAGGCAGCCGAGGCGAAGGCGCTTGCGGCTGCGCAGGAAGTGCGCAAGAAGTCGATGGCAGCGACCAGGGAAGCCTTCAACACGTGGACGAGCAAGAGAGCCTCCCGGAAGGAGCAGCTACGGCTGTGGATTTTGCGCAACACGATGAATTTTTTGAGGAAATGGTTGGGCGGGCACGCTCAGGCGTGAGTGGGGAGGGTACGTATCTATATGTCGCGGTGTGTTGTAGTGTTGGTTTCTCGCGTTCACGCGCGGTAGAGGCGTTCGAAATGGTCACCAACTCAACGCTATAGGTGTCTCTCTTGGTATCGGACTTGCTTAGAGAGAACGGATGTGATTGCTGCATGCTTTGTTTGCAGCACCTTCACCAGCCAGGGGTTGAGTAGAAAGTAAACGGCGGTATTGTATGTATGTATGTACATATGTAACGTGTAAATAATGTAAATATGAATTGACAACGGTTTAACTGATGTTCTGAAGGCATATACGTGTAGAAGGGAGGGGTTGAGGGGGGGTCGGGTGTACTTTGGAGGCTCCGTGGGGTCATGAGGGGATGGGGGGTGGGGGCTCCGTGGGTCATTTTGATCAAAAATGTCGCATTTCACCCAATCACCAAAAACTCATTGGATATCGACGAAGCTCGACGCCGCGGTCACGCCCAAAGTTGTTTCACTTTCCAAATCGTTTTTTTTCGAAAGGTATCGCGACAATCTTTGCCCGAACGGACCATACCACACCCTTCCTTATCAACAGACGCGTAGTTTGAAGTAAATCATGCCTTCATTGACTTCGAGGATGGTAAGCTATCGTCCCCTGAATTTTAAGGACGCAACCCCGCTTCAAGGACGCTTTTTTCGGGAAATAACATGTGCGTCCTTTAAGCGGGGTCGACTGTATATGGCGTAAAAAAGAAGAAGGTGGTGTCACTTCGCCTCTGCTGGCCGGTCGGATCACGGAAACACGGAAACGGTAGGGCTGTGCAATATTACTGGGGCAACCTCCTCTCGTGCACGACGGCTGCTGGGACAACCACAACAACAACATGATCTCCGACGGGGGGGGGGAGAGAGGCATCCTGCATGTTTTGTGCACCGCTCTTTTGCAAGGTAAAACCTTGATATTTTTGGCCGCTGTTTGCAACTTGAAGCACTTTCGTAAATCCCTGTCGTTTTCGAGGAGGGGAGGGGTGACACCATGACACCACCTAACGACTTTTGACCAGACGGGTGTCATCGCCGGGAATCACCCACATCAGAACAGAAGTGGGATTAAAAAAACACGAACATGCGCCCTCGGAGGTCGGCACCGGCGGATAAACCTAGGCGGGAGGAACAAGGGGGGTCCAATCCGGCAGAAAACCACGCCACGCTGCAGCAACCGCGCTCACGGTTTAGGCCGAGAGGGTGAAGGGTGAAGGGAGGATGATGATCCGCCGCGTGAGGTTGGGGTCCACAGACCAAAAAAATGTGCTTTCAAGCCAATCCCCCGGAAGTACAAACCGAGGATGCTGCTGCGATACACAGCGACCAGAGGATGAGTCCAAACGCCCCTTCGCCCCGACATGTCTCTCCTTTTATCTGCTGCCCCGATGGACACTCCCGCTGCCAGCAAGACAACAAGACATGATGGCTTTTCACCTTCTTCTGGCGTTGCTGCTGCTGTGTGCAGTTTATCGGGTCTCTCGATTCTCTTGAGCTCGCTCTCTCTCTCTCTCTCTCTTCTTGAAAGCGCGCCCGCCTTCCTCGACACTATTCCCTCCCAGCTGGTCGCCGTCACGCCGTGTTACTCTCCCTTTGCTAGTTGTGATATCCAGGATAGCAGCCCATTCCTCACGCCCCTGTTAGCGCCACTTCCCTTTCGTCTCCACTGCTTGTGTGTCGATCCCATCACACATCACGCATGTATCACCACGGGAAGGGACGCAGATGGGTAACACCGGAACGCGGGGTGCCCAAAACCTCGGATACCATCCCCTCCGAGCCGTGGGGACCCTAGGATCGAGCGGCGGTGGACGGTAGTCTACGCAGCAAAATGTGGGATAAAGTATTCAATCCGTGCTTTGGGGTTAGGTCTAGGGTTGGGGATAGGTTTTATGTGCCCCCTCCTTCTTTTTCTAGATACTCTTAAAATCCTGTGTAGGCCGTCCGCGGTGGAGCAGGGAGGAGATTTGTTTCACTATTAATACTAGTCTAGACTACAGCTGTAGTTGTTGTCGCCGCGAACTCTCGAACGCAACCGAAGTAAGAAGAGAGAATATGGTATGAAATGTTAGTATCCAAGTACGACGTATCAAGCTGAGCCCTGTGTGGGTAAGTAAGGTGAAGCGACACCAAGTGTACAAATAAATCAACCACCACGCAGCCATTGAGTGTTCGCTCTGTACATCAGTGTATTACGTACGTACGTACGTACGTAGGTACAGTCTGTCTATTTCTTTGGCGTGCCTTATACTTTCTCAAAAGCATCGCTACCAGGATGGATGGGGGAATCGTTGGAGGAATGAATTTCGGACAAGGTCGGGTCATAACTTCGTTCGTCCTTCGTGTGTTTCGGCACCCAATCAGGGCACCGTGCATGGTGAGCACCGGGGTTGTTAGTTGGGAAACAAAGAGAAACAATCCCGACGATGATGAATGAACTGTCCGGCTCCTTCACAGTTTCATTCGTCTGGGCTGGGAAGGAGGGGGCAGTCTTCGAGTTAATAACTCTCCCCGCAGGTTTATTTCTTCTCCATCTTCTGTGTATGGCACGCTTGTCCTACATAATCAACAACGAACTCGTGAATGCTGTTTTTTTCACGCTAGTTGGTGAGTGATGGGGTGAAAGAACTGCTGTAGACTCTCACGTATTCTTTCTTTTGGTTGTTTGGGTTTGTTTCCCGGCACTCACAGCATATCTATTTCGTCGTGAGCGGTAGCACCTGCACCATGTGGGTCAGTTCAATGCTCCCCCAACCAATTGTGGTTGCTGCCCTGAACGGCGATTGTTGGGGTTTCCAGGTGCTTGACTCCCCTTTGCCCCATTAGCGCCGGGCAGATGGAAACACGCAGCAAGGAAACGCCTTTGCTGAGGGGTAAGCGCAGCACCAGGCGCCACCTCCGCGGTTCTACACGTTGTATATCTACCGGACAACGAAAAAGCTCCTGAGCAATGTCGCAACTACCGTAGTCGCATACAGCGTCCCACATACGGTCGTCGTCGACAACATCTATGCATGCGAGATCTTCCTGCACAGGGTCTTGAGATTCCAGAAAAAGAGCTGCCGCCATCACTTTTCCCCGGCACCTCCGCCACTAAAACATCATCGTACATCGCTGAAAAAAAAACACCACAACAAATAACGTGTTTACCAAAACCGCCAGCACGGCACACCGCCGGCTGGAAAAAACAAAAACTAGCCGTAGCACACGAACAAGAGGAACAAGCTTTCTCATAACTCACGAAGCTAAAGAGGTTCATACACACGGTGACCCACACCGCCATTATACGTGGTATTTCTACCCACGCATCCAAGGTGATTATTGCAAGAAACAAAACAAAACGGAGGACGAACTAACACTAGCAACACCTTTTCGGTTGGGATTATCGGTCAACACGACCCCCTTCTCACACCCGCCGCGTCCTCAAAACACCGGGGGAACGCGCAACAGCAGGAGCGGGGGGGGGGGGT